TGGTTGCGGAAATTTACGCCGTCTGTAACTATCCCTATGACAGCCGTGTTGCTTGAAGTCATCGCAACGATAAACTAAAGGCTGCAGCGACCAACGTTTGTAGATAAACGTTGGTAGCGACTGTACTCTCGCATTCCCACCCATCACTCCGAACAGCAAGGCGCCAGTTTCGGTTTGAGGTCGGTATTCTTTCTACAACATAGATGGCGGCTGCATCAGTCTTCCGCACTTGGTGCATTTGGCGAATTCGTTTGAGTCCAGTTCTCAGTGCAACACTCTGCGAGTGCGATGCATTCTGGGAGAGAACTCGAACGGTGCCAGTGCGTGTGAAACGAACTCGCTATACAATACCGTTACCAGACGCTTCGTCTGCTAACATGAGGGAATAATAATGAGTTTGTTTGCTACTAGGTAGGTATCATTCTCTGACAGAAACAAAACGACGAACACACTGGCAAGTCATCTGCGAACAGAGCCAAAAAGGGACAATCGTCTGCTATGAATTGTGTGCTGCGCAGAGTGAGATCAAAAACTAATTGAAATATGGAACATCGGCTATTTTACGGATGCAATTGTCCTGTGCTTCGTTTGGCTATGCTGATTTGTTTTCTGGCTGTGTGTAACTTGACACCCACTGGTGCTAAAACAAGAGCTTGGGACAAGCACCCACCTTACCACGATATCAATCTCACTATACGAAAGAGTATTGGATTTAATTACTGAGTGCCTTTTCCATTGACAAGAAGGCCCCAACATTTTTTAAGAATGCCAGTAGGGTTTTGTTGTTGCATCTTTATACTCGCAACTCATTCACTTTGCCAATTTCGTTTTTCTAGCCTGGCTCAGCTGGCAAGCTGAGCAGCGAGTCTGAAACTGTACCAATATTGTTTCCGGTCAGACTGTCCATTATTATTTATTGTTCTTCCCTGCTATTGTGATATGTCTGCACTGTAGTCATGACAGGGGCTTGAATGGTGGCTCCTACTTTCTACACATGGGTCCTAGGAAACATTTTGTAAGTGATGAGGTGCCCACAATCATGGGCGTCAGCAAAGTGGCGGAAAAGGGGGGGGGGGGGGGATAATTCTGAAGGGGTGTAGCTTTCCAACCTATAACTTTGAAAGAAAACAAGGTTTGCCCCCCCTCTCCCTGCTTTTCCTGCAAAACATACTGCAGATGCCCATGCCCGCAATCTAGGCCAACGGTCCTGGAAAGAGGGTTTGTGGAACCTCTCCGTAAAGGCATTTTAGGAGTCCGCAAAACTCTGCCGGCAGTAATTTTTTTAAAAAATATGATTTGGGGCATTGAGTTGAGCCCAGTCCGGCCATGGCACATTCACAGCTCCGGGAGAAAAAGGAATCTACGGAAGAATACCTCTTTTCACTCTTCCCCCTTTTTATTTTTGGTAAACACGTTTGCAGTCCACCCCCCCCCCCCCCTTCCCCTTTTTTTACACTGCCTGGCGTCTCCCATCACTTCTGCCAGTCCAAAAAGGGTTTGCTTGCCACGATTGGCGGTTTCCTTCTTTTCTCTATAGCATCCTTTCTGCTAAAGTGGAAAGAGTGTAGACGGAGCTTCTTCCCCTCACCGTACCGTCTTAACCTGCAACATACTATACTTTTCTGCCGCCACAAATGCTGTGCTTAGCATGTTTTTGGCAGAGGCTTTTGCTGCCACCACATGCCACGCTATGAAGTGGAGTGCCACGGTGTGTGCGTGCCACCTGTCGCATAAAGCAGTGCACTTTCAATTCACAAAATTATGCGAAACTGACATAACACAAGCACAGCGCGAGAGCATTACAACCGAAACCAATCAAATTGAAGGCACCCAAAGGCGGCGAGCGCGGCGGCGCCCTCTACCTGCCGGTCGGGTAACTACCGAGATGAATAGGTGTATAGCCACTTTTGTGAAGCCAACACGCGAAGGCGCCACGTGTACTTGCTTATTTTGGTGAGTCTGACAGGAACTTGACTTACATTTTCTATTTTCATAAAGATAGGAAATCGCAACCTAGCATCTGTGAACCAAGGAAAGAGTCTTGCCCGCAGCGCAACTTTATTAATTTACCATCCCCTTTCAAGTTCTTTAGAGGAATTGAACCATGTAAACTATGACAAAAAGGAGCAAAAAAAAAAAAAAAAAAAAACGCAAGCAATTTTTTTTTTTTATGGTTTGCACGTTTTGTCGACTGTCCTCGGAACTAGCTCTTTTGCTGTGCTGTTTTGTGCGAGCTCAGCGAGCGTATAGAAAAGCAACCGCAGGTCACAGCAGGCGCAGAGTACAGCGTTCTGCGCGTTCCTGCAATGCATACGCGCTAGTGCAATACAGGGCTGCTTCTGAAAGCATGCTCGCGCGGCTAACCAGTCTGCTTGCACCTGCTGGGCGTCGAAGTCTGAGTCAGTCACGTTTGATATGGGGTAAATAGGGGTATCTTTTGTGACAGGTATGAATGTTAGGCGATTCTCACAGTCTCACAGTGAGCACAGGTGCGCTCTATTCCTGGGCGACGACACCGCACTTGCGACATGCCACACTTCGACAAAGTTTCACTGGCTCAAAGCCTGGACGCCTGGAGGGCTGGATGGAGTCAGTGGGACGTCGGTTAAGCGCGACCACGACACCGTACGATCGTAACCCATAAAACACCGTAATCGTAACTCGCACTCCGTGCTTCCGGAAACTCGGCAGACGAAGGCTTCCGTTTTGTCGCATGAGGTATGAACGACCGTAACCGCTCATTCACGCGGGAAGTGGATCCGCGTTTGCAAAGCGGTTGCGAACGCGGTTGTATAAAGATCCAGTACAATTGCACGCGCACTCGATCGCATCGAGTTGGCGTGCAATTGTACTGGATCTTTATGAAACCGCGTTCAAAACCGCTTTGCGAACGCGGATCCGCTTCCAGTGTGAATGAGCGGTAACTCAACCAGGTCGCGTTTTTAACTCTTTTAAATAAGAAATGGTAACTCTTAAGGCATCACGTGACAAAACCTAGACTACGAAATGACTCAAAAACGAGAGCACTGTGCTTGACGCCATTGGTAACGTGACAGTTACTAAACCACGCCCATCCCCTCACGACGTCCCTAAAATCGCTTCCTCCCGCTCCGGCCGCTGGTGTTGTCGCCGCAACGCTGGTAGCGTCGTTGACGACTGGAGTGAAAAAAACAAAGGTGACGGTCGGTTCGGCGACTGGCCCAGCCGAGCGTTAGGCGGGAGGCAATTTGCCGTTCTGCTACTCTTTGCTCAGTCTCAGAGGTCGAGCCAAATCATTTCAAGGACTGCTCACCCTGGTAAGCGATCATGTATTCTGTAAACTACTCGCTTAAGTAAATATTCGTAATTCGGGCTAACTAGCTGCAGTCACAACTGCGAGCAGACGAAATGATTTGGTTTGACGGCACAGAACGTGAACTGCCGTTCGAGTTCAAGGTCACAAATTACGCTTCACCTGTCTTAGCAATCGTTCAGACACTTTTTATTCTATCTAGCGTCGGAGCTCATTCAAATCTGACCGGTAAATGCTACCTCAGCCGTCTTGTTTACCTCTGTCGTACGCCGTTAAACTAAGGCCACGCATTTGAACACGGTAGAGGACGTTTCAGACATTTCCTAAAATATGACGCTGTCGGTATCGCGCAATCACCATTATTGTCTACACTGCTGCGCCACGTTTACTATTCGCTAAAACACGTTAACTTAAACGTAAGCTTTTTACAGAATGGAGCAGCTGCACCATTTATGATATCTACAACGTGTACCCCTATAGCGACTTGCTAAAAACATCCTTTAATGTGGTTTCCGGATAGACTTCTCACCATTTCCTATGGCGATTCGATGCACTCAGCCGTATGAGTGGCCAAGGATTTTCTCTCGTAGCTCCCGATGCGCGAAATACTACAGTAGCGAAAGCTGACCGAATTGTGAAATTCAGGTGACGAAATAAAACTTATACCCAGACTTGAACGGTACTGATAACGAGTAATAAAATTGCTTGTAGTGAATCGATTTGTAAAGTAATTTTGCAATTATTTGATAACGTTTGTTGGGAAGAAATCCAGTTATGTGTTTATTTTTGGAAGTACAAATTGACTTGCAACGGTATTTTCTTTTTTTTTTTTTTGGCACAAGGTTTCTATCATGCATTCTTCGAACCAAATCTTCTACAAGAGGATAGTTTACCAAAAGCGGCGGAATAAGAAGATTAGTAGTTTATAATTCGGCGATTCTTATCAAATAATGGTATGTACAAAATACCCGTTTTCAAACTCGTAAAATGCTATGTCGTTCTAAAACTTTGAAGTGATCGGAGAAGTACGAGTGACTGTTTTCAAGTAAAGGCCAAATATATTTCATGTCGCTTAAGCTACTAATCTATTTGAATACTTTTTTTAATGAGTAATTGTAATTTTAATTATTATTGTTTTCGAGTGATGTGTACAAGACTGCTGCACCACACTCTAGACAATTTTAAATTTTACGCAGTCATGAAGCTCAGGTAGCAAGGTTTGAATATCGTTAATGGTTCACATATAAATTTATAAAAAGCACTACTACATTGGAGACGTGTTTTGCTACTTCGGAAAACTGTACCAATTCAAACTTCATCTCGAAAAAGGGTAGTAACTTGGCACGCAAAGCCCGTTCACAAAATGAAATATTTCATTTTCAAAAAATTGTTGATTGGTGAACCTTCCCAGCATAGAGCAGGTCGTTTTGAAACGCAGCTAACTCCGTAAACTTTCCACCACAAAGTCCCCCCCTCCCCCGCCAAGAAAGAAAAAAGAAAGACAAAGAGGACTTTAGCTAATTTAAAACACTAACAACTCTTATTAAACTACCAAAATCTTGAGAATGGATTCGGCTAACGTTTCTCGGTTTTTATAGGTTTAAAGTGAAAACGCAAAACCCTGGATATAAACACCACCAACTGAATTTAAATATGTCAGTGCAATTGCGCATGCCAGCACGTGCAGTGCGTATTTCTTTGCTGCAGCTTATTTTGCATTCAACGGCAAGGGACCGTCAATCTTTATTTTGTTCTTGAATATATGCATGTTTATTTGTAGGATGAAATGATGAACACTAAAAGAAAACAAGCAACGAGCCAGCATGACCCAACCATCACATTGACATCAGAGCCTTGACTCCCATGGTGACGACGCGTAACTTGGCTTTGGTTCACGCTAAGTTGTCGTTGTTATAGCCTTGGATGAGCTCTATAACCGGCTTGTGCAGCATGAGCGTGGCGTCGTCACCGATGACGAAGTCCAAGTGGTTGAAGTTCTTCTGGGGCAGCTGATAGTCGAAAACGATACTCTGCAGCCGTGACCGCAGACCCTGCACGCCCTTCGGGTCAGCGAACCGATCACCTTGTCCCGAGAACAAAGCGATGCTGGTTCCGATCTCTTCCAGAGGGTACTCCGGCGGCGTGTCCTGCACACGGTCGGATCGGAAGTTCAGGGGAGGTTAGTGTGGTGCCCACACCAATTATGTACGATGTCGTGTTGCTGAATTTTCTACGTCACCTATTGATGGCCAGGGAGGTCCCATATTGCCAGTCTTGTGTGCTCAAAAGTACAAACGAAGTAGTTGATTATCAATACAATTATTTTTTGTGTTGAAAGATTCGATGAAATCACCCAATCACTGAAGGGAAGGAGCAATTGAACGTTACTTAAAGAAAAAGATTACTATGTAATTTTCGTTAACTTCAGGACCATCGTGACGTTACAAATGCGTTTCAGTGTTTTCACTAGATGGCAGTAAACCCCAAAAATTAGCACGCAAATTAATTTTATCAATTAGGTGAAACCCGAAAATACCAAAACGGAGCCGTCCTTCAATAATAAAAAAGCCCCAAAAGTCACGGAATGACCTTCATTATCTACAGCTTTATGTTGTGTTAATCCGGAAGACAACCAACACACGGAATACGGAGTGCTCGTATGGAGGACCAGCAGATATTTCTCTCATCTTCGGGATCGGCGCGACTCAGTCGAGCACCGCTGAAAGGGTTCATCAAACTTGGACGAGACCAGCTTATTACTTTAGTGTCCAATGACCTTTGATACATTGCATGGTAGAGTCATGCGTAGACGAAGTAGCTGCGCGCGAGCGGGTGTTTCATTCTGATGAGCGCTTGCCTGGTGGCTTACGTTCGAACTATCGCTGACGTCAGGACTCGTTCATGTGGGGCAGATAGGGGGAATGACATCAACGCGAACTGCCGTTATCATCTGCTACTGTCTCGACGCTGTCTTGGAAAAGGATTAAAGTTATTTCGGTTCATTTCTTTTTCGCCCTCAAACGGGCTTTTGCTAGTCACCGAGCTTGCCGTTTCGATAATCCTCTGTCCCTTTCAATTAGACAGCGGTGACACAGGTGCTGATGATAAGGGCAGTTCGCGTTGAAGGGCTCCGCCCTGCCTGCTTCACATGGAAGAGTCCTGACGTCACCGCTAGCTCGAAGGTAAGCCACCAGTCAAACGCTCCTCAGAAAAAAAAAAAAAAAAAAAAAAAAACGACCGGTTTCGTGGAACTGTTTGGTATATGCATGACTGTACGCAGAACTTATCGCGTTGTGTGATTGCCAGCTAACGAAAAGTTGACTCCCATTCACCCAACGATCTCGTCAACAATGACGCGTTCGTATTTGACAAGTCACATTGATGCAGTTTACCCTCACCTAAACATATGAACATTTATTCAAACTGAGCAACTCTAAATAAAACCACAATTGATTTTTTTTTCTTTTTTTTTCGTTGAACAAGTCAAGACTCGACTTGTCGTCAACCAGTAACACACGTATCTGGATAGACCTATTTCGAATTCAAAATCCGAGACCACACACTTCATGCTCGGCATGTTGCACTGAGAAAGCAGTCAAGGGCAGCATCCAGTAGCCTTCATACCGTCGTCGCTGTTATCAATAACATAAAAACGGCCAACAAATATTAATAGCGTTGAAAAAAAAGCGAGAAAAAAAATCAGAGCGTTTGCATGGAAATAGAGAACTGATTATTTTTCCCTTGGCGTCATATCCCTCGTACGTCACTCGACCTGCGTACCGGCGCTTGCGTCGTCTCGCTTCTCATCAGTACGAAATAAAGTTGGTGCGAATTGTTTTGGATCGCCATTTTTCTCGCTAGAAGAGGGATTGGCCGGATTCCGGGATTTGGTTTGGATTCGCGCTGCTGCATTGCGCTTAATCTGTTTTGAAGTCAGAAGTCAAAGGAACTTGATAAAGTATGTCACAGTACTTCCTTTTACGGTGTATTAATTCTCTGCAGCTTCAGATTGAGCGCCTTCTCGAGCTTGACAAGCGCGCCCCATGCCCTATTAATTTTCCACATTGTGTGCTGATTTTGTTAGGTAGCACAAAAATGTGAGATTCAATCGGATGTGGTTACCTCATGAAAGCGAGCGAAACGCTAATTCTACTATTGGCTTATTATTTTTGTGCAGACCCTAGCAGGGGCTGCTTGCCTGTAATCGGGACATGTATTCAACTGTACACTAGACTTTTGCATTGCTAGCGCGAGCTCGTGCCGTCACACTGAAGCATAGTTTGAGCACGTGCCCGCTTGATGTGGGGCCCGGAGCGAACGGTCTACTAAAACTATAATAACGCGCTGCTCTGCTGTCAATAGATCGCATGTTTTTGTAAACCGTTGCAGCACTCACACAGCCTAGTTGTTATTCTACCGCGATAGCGTTAAGGAGCTCGTGTCGCAGAAAATCCGGCGTCGGCGTCGGTGTCGGCGAAGGTTGGACCGGAAAATCCTGATTGGTGGATAGGGTCATGACGTCAGAACCACGTGTGACGTCATGTAAATCTATTTTCTTAGACCCTAGCAACAATGTCAAAACACCCAAACAGACATTTCTACAAAAAAAGAAAAAGCGGAAAAGGGGCGGGCGGCGGGGGGGGGGGGGGGGGGGGGGGGGGAAGCGGCAGGTTATATCCACTTTTGTTTACTCCTTTTTTTTTGTGATCGGAAACGGGGAGAAGAGGACGCGAAGTGATTCTGTACCTCTTCGAGAAGCTCCAGACGGTAAGTGCACACACAAGAATTAAGAATGTCCTTCTCGTTTATAATGACTACGACCATTTTCATTATGTCACAACACCAGGCAACGCTCCGTATAGACCGACACGCGCAGCGGCTCTGTTTACCAACACGGCCGGAAGGCCGCGCATGCGCGGTAGCTATGTGGGCAAAAGCGACTCGGCCCTCCGTGTTTTCGCCATTGCGTTGTGTGGCGTGCGCTCGCTGTTGACGTTGTAGGGACGCTTCTAGCTTTATTTGTGAATCGTATTTCCTGGCAACGTATGTCGCATGCTCTGTCCGACTATTTGAGCTCGCTACCCGAGCCTGAACGGCGGCATATCGAAACAAACTGTGCGTGGACGGCGTTGCCTACGAGGATCCGTACACCGTAAACAAGGCCTGCTGGACTTCCGACGTGAAGTTACTGCCACCGAAGTCGATGGCTCATGTCGTCGTTTATTTAGTTTTTTCGCCAAGCCAGTTCACGGCCGACACGGAGCAGGCGTACAAGTCTCTCGAGGCCTACGATTACTTCGAGTCGGTTTCCGCACTGCCGGCGGGATCAGCAGACCGTGGGTCTGCGGAAGTGTATTTATTAATTAAATAAATACACACAGCGTCTTCGAGTCAAGGTATGCTATTTTTCCTAGTCTCATGACCACAAGGCATGACAAGCAGGAACGCTTTGTCCGTTCTGCAGTCTTGGCGGTAACACGTTACAAGTAACGGCGTTACCAGGAACGCGTTACTTTTTTCAGTAACGTAGTAACCTACTCGTTACTTTTTCGACACAGTCACGGGTAACGTCGTTACCATTTCAAGTAACATAGTTAGGTTATTCGTTACTACAATTACACTTCAAGTTTTTCTGTGTTTGAGGCGTCAAGCCATGTTTTTCTTTGCGTTTTTTCTCGTCAGTATTTAAGTGAAACCGCAAAAAGAGATAAAGTAATTATGTTCTGTTTCTGCATAAACATAATATTTCTTGATATATGAGCTTAAGCATACCTGTATCGTCAAAATCATAAAACTTGTTAAATCATAATTTAAAAAAAAGTAACGCAGTAGTAACGTGCCTTACTTTTTATCGGTAGCGCTAACGCGTTCCTTTTATTTTTAGGCAACGTAGCTCAGTAACGCGTACCTTTGATTTGCAAGTAAGGAGTAACGTACTTCGTTACTTTTTTTTTTTTTTTGGCGACGCCTACAACACTGGCGTTCTGTCGCCGATCCCCTTCTGCTTGGTAGCACGGGCGTAGCGAGCCTCCGATAAGCGCTTGGCCGGTGCTTTGTGCGCGAACACCGTGGGAACAAAATCCGGGTGGTCTCGATCAAAGGACGGTTTCCCTGTACATAAGCAAGCCTCGGGACGGAGATTGAAATGGAAGCCGCACTTGCTTCCAAGAAAGTTCTTGTCGCACAAACGCGCGAGGCGACCATAATTTTCGATACACGGATATTATCCACCTTCTATGGCTTTCAGAGTCTGCCGGGAACTTGTAGAACCTCACTCCGCTACTTTTCTTGTACATTTCGGTGAGATTAACGGCAACACAGCTTCGCGGCCTGCTGAAATACTATGACGCCCATGCGAAACGTGCGCTCTTTTGCCCACACCCCTCGGCTCCGGCGCGATCGCAGCGCCGCCGCAGCACCGTGACGTCAAGAACGCGTGTCGGTGTATACCCTAAAATCCACTAAAAAAGATATGATAATACGTGAAGGTGCTTTTGCCACAAGCATCCTTGTTCGTTGTTGCACACTTATTATCTGCTCGCAAACAGGATATATTTTTTCTTTCACCTTATTTCACCCTGTTTTAAAAAACTACTTACTTTTTTTTAGTCCAACTTCTAGAGTTGGCCCACTTTATTTGTGAATTCCAGCCAGGTTATCTGCATCTCAGTCACCTTTTTGTGAGTCAGCTTTTTGCGAGCACTTTGATAATGGCAATAGTCGTCCTTTCTTCTTCCTGTTTTTCCCCCGGCATGACGCACCTTATCTGGAGCAGATATTTTTACAAATAAACACAATAGTGGCTGACGTAGACTTGATATTCTGGGCTTGGGGAGAGAGTGAAACTCGTGGGTGGGGCCATAGCTCGGCTACCTTAGTACTCTGCCCTTCGCTGCCCGTGGCATCAGCGGACGTCTATCTGGAGAACACCAGAGTAAACTGCAGTCGCTTCGTGTTTCGTGTGTCTTTGAACGGCACCAAGAAAGGTACACACGGCAAACGCGCGTTTACATTTCATTTTTTTAACCGAAGTTTTTATTAATTGTTGTTATGAGTGTCCTCTTTTTCGATTACTTATATTTATTTGCTGGAAACTTTTTTTTTATTCACCAACTTCTCAACTGAGGCTCGACCGTTTCAGAACCAAAGGAAGAAGAGTATCGAGCCAAACCTTATTTATTATTTAATTATCACTTTACTGTTACAGCTGTGTTTTGCTATTGTCTGGCAATATATGCCGGTATAGTAAGATGGACATAAATCAATTCTTATTGTAGTTTTGGCTAGATGTATGATGACTTCTACAGCATTGCGATTTCGAGAGTGGGGAACTTTAGTCGATCGGTCCGATGACTCCATTAACGATACCCGATACTCCACCGCCGCCTGTGCGGAAATGGAACAGGTTGCAACAATAAGAATTTGAATAGCCCTTATCCCTTTTTTCTTAAGTGAAGACAATATTGTTGAAAGTAACGCCACGAAAGTAACGAATTATTTTTGGGGGTAACGGTCACTTACTTTCATGGAAGGGTAATTGTAACTGTAATAAATTACAATTTAGCCTTGAGTAATTGTAAATGTAATTCCTTACTATTTTTTAGTGACGTGTACAAGTCTGCTCAAGACCATGAGAAGCAAATGAGAACGCGATACGAACGGGGCCCGATAACGCTATCGGGTTGACTCTTAACGGATCAAATTCAACGCCCCCAAGTTTTATTTTTCTTTTTTTTAAATTATAAAGTGTTTTTTTTTTATTCGTTGTCCAGCGAGCAGGAGTTTTACAGTGCCCAGAATTACTAATCATCCAAATCTCTCTCGAACAAGCAAGAAGATGCTGGTGCCCCGGTTTGGGGCACCAGCATCTTCTATGACCGGCTATGACCGGTTTGGGAAGACGTCGCAGTGTCTAAGTGATCGCCACCGCAGCTGCACCTTTCGGATTTCGGCCTTTGCTTGGATTCTACCGCACTGGAATTCCAACGTTAGTCATCCTTAAACGTAATTTTTATCTACGAGGCAATGAAGTTACGTTTGACTTGAACTGCAACTTTCTGTTTCTGAGATTGCAGTACACTAGGATACCAGTAGACATTCGCGAGGCATATTTCTTCAGTTGTGCGCAAATTGTGGACTGAAACTTTGAGTACGAGAAGACTAACAGCAAGGGTTCAAAATGTAACGACTTGGAACCAAATGCAAAAGATTAACTCTAAGTCCCAGTGGTCTAAATGCAATTGCGCAATATTAAATCCCATGCGTCCAAATGCAAGGGCGCCACAAGTAGTCAAATTCTAGGGCGCAGATGTTAGTCATGGGGGTCCAACTCTGAAGGACTGACGGAAGGGGTGAAAAGGTTGCTCCCGTCCCGTTAGCCCCAAGGCGACAAGTGGTAGTGTCAGCACATTTAGTCCCCCGAAAGTCTAAGTCGCGCTCCCTTTTTCCTTACGATGTAGAACACTACAGCCTATTTTCCCTTTAGCTTAAAAGTAAACAATACAATGTGAGATTTTCTTTTCCTCGTTTTTCCTTCAAAACAAAGAGGCTTGCAAACCAGTGTGACGTTGACACGGTCACCTTGCTCTGAAGCATCAGGCATCTGTGCAATTTTGACTAATTATACCTCCCAGAAGACTAAGCACCCTCGTAACATTTAGTATTGTATAGTTTTTAAGCCGTTAGATGAAATTTTGGAAACCTGCTGATCGAGCTGCGTACTTGTTTGTGCTGCTCGTGCTAGTGCATTCAGAAAACGACCTGCAATTGAGCAATGCGCTTGCCATAAAGCGTAGTCGGTAACAGGAAATTTCATACCAGGAGATGGCACTGGTCGTTGGCGGATAAAAAAAAATAAAAAGGAAGCCGCGGCATATCCAATCATCGAAACTTCGCACAACCTGTTCGCATGCAGACCTCAGGCAGCCGCTGGTTACGAAAAACTGGACAAGCTTCTCACGTAAATATCTCTAACAGTCCCAATTGGTGGTTTTCCCCTACCCAGAGCGAGCTATGCTAAAGTAGAAAGAGTAAAAAATCGTTCTTGCTTTCCTTAAATTGAGACAAACGACCACTCCTCGAGCAAAACATTTGTTAACCCACTCGCGACCACTGAATTTCGAAAATGTGTTAAAGGAGCTGAAATGGTACTGCACATATCTCTAAGCCAATGTAGTGCATATGTCGTCTTATTTAAACGCTGTCATAAGGTTACAGCCCCTATCATTGCCCGAATCGGATCATGTCAGAATGCAAGACAATGCCAAACGCCGAGTGTGACTAGTGAAAAGCATACTAACCTGACCATAGATGTCCATGTTTCTTTCTTTGCCATAGTCGTACATTATGAAATTCTTTGCCTTGTACATCTGGAAAAGCAAAAGACTGCACGTCAGCTATTCGTTGCAATATTTAAGGAAGCCCAGAGTTTTTAACATTGATTCTATAATACACTTTTAACATAGCAATATTTCTACCGATAACAGTAACTTGTGCCGATGCACATGATTGTTCGGATTAAAAAGCATGCACCTCATGACTCGAAATTACATGTCACTTGCACTAATATCTAAACGCTGGTACGCATTCTCTTTGACGTTTTTAGAGCGCAGCTCTTAAGCGCCCATTTCCGTGTCTTGCGGCGTCAGCGTCCGCGTCGGCGTTGGCGTAACCGCGCTAAATTTAGCGGGAAAATTGACGTTATGTGACCTCAACACCAATTTGATTCCCCGCTAAATGTAGCGGGGAAATTCAGTTCCTATGCTTGATTTACCGGACAAATTCACTTTCTCCGGTAGTTTAGGCAGGAAAATTGACCGTCACGTGACCCCAGCACCAATGCAGTTCCCCACTACGTGACTTCAACACCACTTCATTTCCCCGCACAATTTAGCGGACAAATTCAGTTTCCTCACAAGATTTAGCGGGGAATTTTACATCACGTGACCTCAAAGCCAATTCAATTTCAGGCTATATTCGAAGAAACTATTCGTTCATAGGTGACGTAACACCAAGTCATGTGGCTTCATTCTCCCCGCTAAATTTAGCAGGGAAACCGAATTGAAGGAGGGGGAAGGGAGGGAATGGAGGAAGAGGAGGAGGAGTCTTTCATTCTTTTATCTAAGTCTTTAATTTTGTCTGACCGTGGAGAGGGCGGGGGGCTGTCGCCTTGTCAGGCATGTCGATGCCTTTTGTGGCGGCCCCCCAGACAGCTGTATTCCTCGACGGTTGTCTAAATAAACCTTGATTTGATTTTATTTGATTTGAGAGTAGGAGTGGAGGAGGAGACGGTACGGAGACGGCGGAGGGGGAAAGATTTCCTCCTCCTCAAGAGCTGCGCTCTATTTCCGCATTACAGATACTGTGTCTGTAAACGTCATTCATTTTTTCTTTTCATTTTTTGCCAATATTAGAGCCCAGCTCTTAGGCGCCCATTTCCGGGTTGAGCGGCGTCGCCGTCGGTGTAACCGCGCGTTGCCTTATGGGTCATTTCCCCGCTAAAGTTAGCGGGGAAAACTTCCTGCTTAATTTAGCGGGACAATTTTTCCGTAAATTTAGCGGGAAAATTTTTCTGCCAAGTTTAGCGGGAACATTTTCCCGCTAAATTTAGTGGGGAAATTTTCGATCAATTTCACGCTGAATGGGAGGGGAGCAGGAGAGGAGAAGGGGAGGGCACAGAGGGGGAAGAGGGGCATACTCTCCCCTCCGTGCCCTCCCCTGCTCGTTCTCAAGAGCTGCTCTTTAATTTGGAATTACAGAGAATTGTAAACGACTCGTATTCTGCCTTTTTTTACTTTCTGAACTTCAAAAAGAGCAGTACTAGAAGTTTCGTGTACCTGTGCATAGTGGACGATGTTCTGCGTGGACGTACCCGCCGGCATGTGCGCTATATACACTGGAATCCTTGTCTGGACAAATAGAAGAGAAACAACACAAAAACCTGTTTTGATATATGGACGTTAGCAGAAAAGAATTCATGCAGAATATATTGTTCAAAACGACTTCATTTTCTTTAATAAAAAAACATATATGTAGGAATAAACAAATAATGCTGCCAAGACGGATATTTGCTATAGAAACCCGAGAACTGCAACAGTGTCCATGGGACACTAACATAGCTGGCAACAAAATGAATATTTAATCAAGCACTGCATCTGAAGCTGTTTAGTATGGTAAGCAAGACAAGACCGCAAGACTCTTGTAATATAATATTATCCTGAAATGATGGTGTCTTATTGGTAGCAAGCACACATTAGTATGCACCTGTGAGTAATTTCACTTTTGTTTTGGTTACTGCAACCATCACTGTGACCATAGCTGAATGCATGACGGAGAAGCGATTTGGTAGAATGGGAATTTCACTAAAAAAACTCAAGGCACTTAAATTACTAATATTTCTTCTTTTTTTTTTTAGTTTTGGCGCCTAATTTTTGGACTAGTGTATACAATGCAAGATCTGGTTTCTTATTTTTTTGTTTTCTCATTCGTGTTTTTTTTTTTTTAAATGAGAAGTTAAAAATTACATTTATGCGCTTGTCTTGGCGCCATTTGAGATGACATTATGCCAAAGGCTTTCGAAATTCGTGGCTCGCTTTAAAGTTTATCTTGCGAAACGGTAGTATCAACTGGCATTCAGGTGATATAAATTAGAATTATAATATAATGCCTTTGCAGAAGCTAGAGAACAAAATAAAAACAAAGTGCAATTTTAAACATAGCAACAGGGCTACTACTGACCTAATGATGCTAATGATAATATTTTTTTCCAAGGAAACCACACCGTTACATAAGCTTGAAGTGGCGCATGCATTAGAGGCTTGCCGCCCCGAGCCTAACATTAAATAGTAGTTTAGGTTCTGTGGCGTATATCTGGAGACAACGTAAAGATAGTGACCATCGGGTGCCTGACGTCTTTGCTGTAGATGAAAAATTTATCCATTCCCGAACACCAGCTTATCTGGTGTCTTTTACCTGCCTCATGCCGCAGCAATACACGAACGCAAGGTGGTACAGTAGACATACAGATCGAAGCGAGATAGTTTGCATATCGCTGTAGAACAAACCGAAAGCGTGTGAGCCTCAGATGTTCGGACCATGTATTTCAAGGCACCTTTTTACTTGAGTCGAATTTAGAAATTGCAGCGCAAAATCTTTCAGCTGCTGCCAATCTGACTTGAGAGGTATCTTTCTGTGCTGTCTTTCTTATGGATATTGCGCATCCCCGTCATTTGGACACAACTGATTTAAAAAAAAAAAAAAAGAAACTTTAGCGGTGTTTATACTTTTTGATAACACCTTCTTATATGGCTGGAAACTTGGAGAGTGCATTGAATATATTTTTTTTGTATTCTTCCACGCTAACATACTTTGTTCGTGTTTTTTTTTTTTTTTTTTTTTTTTTATATAGAGAGCGCGACACTGCTAGCGCGAACAAGCGATCGCTGATTTTTCCAGTTTTTCTTTTTGAAACCAAGGGATGTCATCCAAGTTATTATTGCTACGGAAAGAGATCACTTAGTTCTCTATTGTAAGCGATAAAATTTCGTGATCGCTAATACTATTTAGAAGTAAAATGCGAAAATGCGCCAATGTCGTGTTCGCGCTAATAGTGTCGCGATGTGTACGGTGTTTCTTTACGATTTTCTGCCACCGATATAGTGCGCACCTTAAAATATATTCGCCGTTCGGGCAGCACATTTAATAAAACAATCAATATATGAATGAATGAATGAATGGATCAATGAATGAATGAATGAATGCTGACGCCACAAATCAGTATTAAAATTAATTGTGAGCTGGAAAGGTATGTAATATTTCTTTTCTATATTTTTTTCGACTTACGGCGGTTCGCAGTAGACGTTGCGCGCCGCACTATTCAAAATGCCGTGAGAGTGACAGCTGACCTCCGGGGAAGCAGTCACGTGGTACACTCACAACGCTCAACTGGCAGGGTTTGCACGAAGTGTCCGCTTTGCTTCATCGTATAGAGAATTAGCGCCTTTATAGGTACACAGGGCGTTCGCATTTAATTCAGACAAATATATATTTATTTTTATTTTATTTTTTTAAGAGATGAAAGTTACTAGACGAGTGCCGTCTTCACCTTGTATTTAACATGCTCGGCGGACGTGAGATGGAAGATAGTCGTTATGATATATTGTCTAATTAGCTATGCTCTGTTTACTGGTGTTTTTAATTATTGGTTTTTACGTGCCATGCTCTAAATTACAGAATTGACGGCAATTGCGAATAGGGCAGATACATTAAAATAATTTGCAAACATGTAATGAATTTTAGTCATCAATTGATAAACATTCACTATTATAAGCCCGATTTAAATGTTGCGCGCAAAAAGCGCGCCGCACGCCCTGCCCATGGGATGCGTAAAGTGCGTGCTCCGGAGCGCGAAGGTTCGGCGCTCCGTTCACTAGACGGACAGAACGACCCTGGAGACTGACACTCGAGCGCGCTCATCGTGCACCGAATTTTTCTCAGAGAGCGAATGACATCACGTCAATGTTACTAGAACAACACATCTGGGAAACTGCCATAAAGCGTGCTTTAAAAAGTAGCTCCGCCACGCCGCCATTTCTTCCGCAGCGGCCACTTTGGGGACCACTCGGCTGCGCGCATTGGTTAAAGTCGAGTCACGCAAGAGCCTGTGGCGCCATCTCAGAGTGACATTTCACAGTAGCTATATCAATTAGCTTGCATATTTCGACTGATCGCTAAAGGGTGGCGCCTGTATAGTGACCAGTTTTGTCTCGGTAGAGGCTAACGGTTTGGGTTTCAAGGGTGAGTTTCCCAACTCAGTGCTTTAGTAACCTTGCATCCCACCTGTAAACAAGATGGCGGCGACGACAGACAGGTGCTCGAGATGATCGGTGCAAACATTCGGACCGCTGCTCCTTTCCAATTGAATCGTGCTTAGTACAGAAGGGGAGAACGATTTTATTTCAAAGCCAAGAGAACAATTAGCGTTTTGGAAGAGGTATGTTTTGTGCATCTCGCCTGGAAACAAATTAACGCGCTATCTATCGAACGGTAGCGTACCGACAGCACATCGAAGGAAAAGTTGTCGAAATGTAAAGACAGTTGGATCTTGCCTTTTTTAGAATGCTTAGCTCAACGAATAAATAAGCTTCGGTTGGAAATCTGAAACATCAGTTAGCATTCTGGAAAAAGGTTTGTTCGTGCATCTCGCCTGAAAAACAATTCACGTGCTGTCTATTGAACAGTGGTGTGTTGGTAGCGCATCGCCAAATTCTGTCTCACGCTGCCAGTGGGAACCACGTAACATCGCTGACAAGTTTGGTAGTTTCCTGTCGACAAGCCAGTTCAAGAATGCCATCTTGAATTTAGAAGTAAGCTGGATGCATGGTCAATAAATAGATCAGTCATAGTAACCATCCGCGTATGTGCTCGAAGCGAGTCTCTAAACATTTCAGGAGTATTAAAATATTTAACGAAACTTTTTATCGTCACTGACTTTTTTTTTTTTTCTTTCCACTCAAACCTACAAAATTTCGGCGTCTGCAACCTGTATCCATGAGATCCCAGGCTCGTCATCACCGTGCGGTCGGAAGCGGCTCTTTCGGGTCATACGTGATTAAGGAGGGAAAACAACGCTGTAAGAGAAGGTCAAGCAACAGAAGCATACACGGCGCCTGCTGGTCGTGGATAGTTACGGTGTGTCATGCTCCAGTGCGCTATATGTTCCGTGTAGTTGCAGGGCTCCGAGTAGGAAATTTGGAGCGTCGGAGATTTTAAATCAGGATAAAAAATGTGAAAATATATTAATTGATATCTAAAAAAAACATTTACTTGCTTGAAAATTCTTGCAATTCTCTAGCAGTATTTTCCCGTCAATACTGCAAAATCAACACGGCCTGTAAAATCAATAATTGAGAAATTAATTAACGAATATTAAATAATTAGCCTTCGTATACGCCATTCACACGGTCAACATAAAGGTGCATTTAACATAGGTCCCTTGGCTATCGGCGAATCAGCCCGTGCTCTTGGGTCGCGAGCACACGCCACGCGCGTACGATTGTCAAATGATTGGCCGCAGAGAATAAAGTTTCCTTAGCTAAAGGTGCCTTCACAGTCGTGTGAACGTATTACTATGGCAATTATCTCCTCATATAATGTCTGCCGTGCCTTATAAATATATGATGAAAACTGAACTCCTCCAACCATAACCTCCTGTTTATTGAAACACAGTATGAAGAAGGGTGTGCTCCAACTCTCGCCCCCTTTTGTTTAGTAAATATGTCCGAAATAATATTAAACACGCTGTTTACATTTCTATAGATGCTATGTTCAGTGCTCGCGCACTGGAAACATCAATTTCCTTAAGAGCCAAGGCTCGTTTTCCGAACTTCTTTGGGTGTCATTGTCACCAGCTCGGAGCACGTGCATCCAGGGCTCGCGCTGCAGAGCCCGGGAATTCGGGGTTCAATCCCCACCCTTGCCAGGTAAGTTCCGGATGATAATCATACCGGAGTGCGGTCATGTATCACTATCTGTGTGATGCCTGATAAAGGTGCCTTGTGGAGGTTTCTGAGATCACTTTAATATGATGATAACTCACTCTGTCGGCTCTAAGCATCATAGAAATTGGTAAATCATAACGATGGGCGACTAATTTTCCTATTAAAAAAGCAATAAAAAATCGCAGACGCCTAGGTCATCTCAAACGATGTGAGGAGCATTGTTCCGAGAGCCAGGACAACATGTTATCAATAAAAACGCTACAATTCCCTGAGCTTGCCAACGCTGTTATAACAAACTGTGTATGCTTTTGTAGATGATAAAAGCAAATAAGAGTAGTCGAAGAATGTTATTTTTTCGCGGAGATGGCACATAATAAAGGAATAATCGTTTCAAAACCAGGGCACTCTATTTTTTTTTCTTTTTTGTTTCCGCGGGAGTGAAATGTCCAGTCGTCGGCTCTTCGGTTGCATCGTTGTCCGGGGTGCATGGCTAACGAGCCGCGCACATTCGACATATCACTCCGCGGTTCTACCCGTCGGAGGCGCGAGGGTCCTTCGCTTGCTATTGGCTGACTGTGGTCCTGGTTCCGTAGATGTGGTAGTTGACCTCGGTGTGTTGCGATCTTCGATTTTTTTTAATTTTTTTTTATTAGGGAATTCGGTTGCGTATTGTCATGATTCAGATATATCTATGCTGCTTAGAGCCAGCAGAGTGTGTTATCGCCATATTGAGGCGCTCTCAGATTCATTATTAGGGTACCTTTAAAGACCCCAGGCGAGCGGTTGTACTGCGCTGGCAAAATTTCGTATCTAGGGATGGGAGGCCCGTCGCCCGCTTTCAGATTCAATATTAGGGCATCTTTAAAGACCCCAGGCGAGCGGTTGTACTGCGCTGGTAAAATTTCTTATCTACAGATGGGAGGCCCGTCGCCCGCTTTCAGATTCAATATTAGGGCATCTTTAAAGACCCCAGGCGAGCGGTTGTACTGCGCTGGCAAAATTTCTTATCTACAGATGGGAGGCCCGTCGCCCGCTTTCAGATTCAATATTAGGGCACCTTTAAAGACCCCAGGCGAGCGGTTGTACTGCGCTGGCAAAATTTCGTATCTAGAGATGGGAGGCCCGTCGCCCGCTTTCAGATTCATTATTAGGGCATCTTTAAAGACCCCAGGCGAACGGTTGTACTGCGCTGGCAAAATTTCTTATCTACAGATGGGAGGCCCGTCGCCCGCTTTCAGATTCAATATTAGGGCACCTTTAAAGACCCCAGGCGAGCGGTTGTACTGCGCTGGCAAAATTTCTTATCTACAGATGGGAGGCCCGTCGCCCGCTTTCAGATTCATTATTAGGGCACCATTAAAGACCCCAGGCGAGCGGTTGTACTGCGCTGGCAAAATTTCTTATCTACAGATGGGAGGCCCGTCGCCCGCTTTCAGATTCATTATTAGGGCACATTTAATGACCCCAGGCGAGCAATTGTACTGCACTGGCAAAATTTCTTATCTATTGATGGGAGGCCCGTCGCCCGCTTTCAGATTCATTATTAGGGCACCTTTAAAGACCCCAGGCGAGCGGTTGTACTGCGCTGGCAAAATTTCGTATCTAGAGATGGGAGGCCCGTCGCCCGCTTTCAGATTCATTATTAGGGCATCTTTAAAGACCCCAGGCGAACGGTTGTACTGCGCTGGCAAAATTTCTTATCTACAGATGGGAGGCCCGTCGCCCGCTTTCAGATTCAATATTAGGGCATCTTTAAAGACCCCAGGCGAGCGGTTGTACTGCGCTGGCAAAATTTCTTATCTACAGATGGGAGGCCCGTCGCCCGCTTTCAGATTCAATATTAGGGCACCTTTAAAGACCCCAGGCGAGCGGTTGTACTGCGCTGGCAAAATTTCGTATCTAGAGATGGGAGGCCCGTCGCCCGCTTTCAGATTCATTATTAGGGCATCTTTAAAGACCCCAGGCGAACGGTTGTACTGCGCTGGCAAAATTTCTTATCTACAGATGGGAGGCCCGTCGCCCGCTTTCAGATTCAATATTAGGGCACCTTTAAAGACCCCAGGCGAGCGGTTGTACTGCGCTGGCAAAATTTCTTATCTACAGATGGGAGGCCCGTCGCCCGCTTTCAGATTCATTATTAGGGCACCATTAAAGACCCCAGGCGAGCGGTTGTACTGCGCTGGCAAAATTTCTTATCTACAGATGGGAGGCCCGTCGCCCGCTTTCAGATTCATTATTAGGGCACATTTAATGACCCCAGGCGAGCAATTGTACTGCACTGGCAAAATTTCTTATCTATTGATGGGAGGCCCGTCGCCCGCTTTCAGATTCATTATTAGGGCACCTTTAAAGACCCCAGGCGAGCGGTTGTACTGCGCTGGCAAAATTTCGTATCTAGAGATGGGAGGCCCGTCGCCCGCTTTCAGATTCATTATTAGGGCACATTTAATGACCCCAGGCGAGCAATTGTACTGCACTGGCAAAATTTCTTATCTATTGATGGGAGGCCCGTCGCCCGCTTTCAGATTCATTATTAGGGCACCATTAAAGACCCCAGGCGAGCGGTTGTACTGCACTGGCAAAATTTCTTATCTATTGATGGGAGGCCCGTCGCCCGCTTTCAGATTCATTATTAGGGCACCTTTAAAGACCCCAGGCGAGCGGTTGTACTGCACTGGCAAAATTTCTTATCTATTGATGGGAGGCCCGTCGCGGCAGACCAAGTTTTAGGCAGTATAAACATTCGCACAACCCAATTTTTCATCCGGCCCCAAAGCACGTTACACCGACACCGGCCTTACTACATTCCGTTCACCCCTAAAATGACAGTGCGGTGGGAGCTACGCGCTTGCCGGACCAATCAGCCACCTCCCTTTTATCACCTGACCCATAGCCTCCTCTATACTGACAAAGCCTGGCAGATCGCCACGAAACGCGGCCGCCAAAAGTGAAAAGGTAGAGTGGCAGACAAGATTCATGTAACGGGCGCCCCGCTGCGGCGAGACGCCGAAACACACTTCTTTTCAGCGATGGAATGTCCGCTCGCTGCCGCTTCTTTCTCTTCGGGTTTGGAAACCATGTTTCAGGCCCTCGCCGCTGCAAACCCTGTGCGCTGAATACCGGACTCCCCGAGAAATACTCTGAGCTACCAGATCCTCGCGCTGCGAATCTGCGACCGGGCACTCTATGGCTTCGTCATCAAACTGCCGCAGCCAGGCTTTTATCATAGAGGAGACTATGCCTCACCCCATTCACTGCGCGCGGGTATGCGCAAGAGAAAGAAGTGTGGCAAAAGATAGAAGTGTGGCTGGTCCAACCAGCACGTAGCTTCCACACCAACGGGCGGTATGGAGCGAAAACAACTTTTGTACGAGTTTTGAGAGACGGGCCAATCTTCTAAGGGGAGAATAGCGACGTCCGGGTACGAAAAAGAAGGTCCGAGCAGAGGGGGCTTTCTCCTTTCCCTCCTTTTGAACTGTTTAGTAACGCTGCCAGGCTGCGCAACTTGTAAGCCGAAGAGGAAAGGTAAGAAGAAAGATGTTAAAGAAATTGTTTCATGGCCCCTGTTATTGAATTTCAAGTGCCTTTTAAATGTCCGTCTCGCAGGTGTAACACTAACTGTTCTCGTACCGTAATATTTTTAATGCTTTAGCATACGGACGCTCGTTTTGTGTCTGTCAGTTTCTCAGCGCCGGACAGAAATGGAGAAAGAGTGTTGAGGGTGACGCATGCGACTCTCCTATTGGTCCAAATCCCCGACGTCACACGCGTCACCCTTTCCCTCTCTCCCCGGAGCTGACGAACTGACAGACACCGCCGGGTTTTCGTCAAAAGGACGGTTTTCGTTTTCGTCAAAGGAGCGTAGCACAGCTGGCGCAGAGCGAGAGAGGAGGAGTCGCGGCGCAGATGAATTCGGGCTGCTCAGTTGACGCTCTGCTGCGATGTGTGTGTGTAGTTGAAACGATGGATGCGGTTCCATCCACTAGTCATATTGCTGTCGTGATAAACGATGGGAAAGGGATCGCGCACGGACGGAAATGGGTAAAAAGGGGGTAAGAACAACTAATCCTAGCGCATTTCCTCCCAATACACCCCATTAATTGTCAAGTATTTTTTTTATGTTGGACGTATTGTTTAGCAGGAACACCCAAAACTGGACTAAACATTTTTTTCCTCTGATTCTTTTGTGTATAATTGATCTAATATTCACCTTCTCTGCGCTGGCATCTTTGTTTACTAGGCTGTGTCGGGCACTGTAATTATGCGCAGCAGCTCTTTCACGGAATATCTTACGCAGGGCATGTGTCCACAACCCAATGGGCAGCGATTTTTAGCCAGGATTATAGGCACTGTAGAGGTGTATAGCTCCCTTTCAATGAATATATATGTGATGATGCTTGATTACTACGCGAGTCAGCACAATTCTTTTTTTAAAGAAAGCTTACCGTGTTCAGCTGTTCTTGACTGGCCCCAACAACAATGTTGATAGGAAGGAAACAAAGCCCACGAAAGACGTTATTGCAGGCAGCGCCAATCACGGTCTGGGTCAGCTGGCTGGACGTCAGCAGTCCTCCCTTCGTAAAGATGTCGATGAAGTTCTGAGAAACCGACACAAAAATAACCGGATGTAGACTTGTCCGTCGAGCGCAACAATCTGTCCTCTTTTCGAAATACAACTTCGCATCTCTGAATGACGTCCTTTTGTAAGTGCTTAACCTTCGAACTCAATAAGGCAGGGTGTGTAGGAAGGCCAATGACGCCGTTATTTGAAGTGAAATATTGAGGATATGACTGCTCAAGCTGAGTCGAAGTACACTTGGCAGTCTTCTGATTGGTCGATACATTATTTGAATCTGATATGGTCATTTTGGAAGATTTTAACCATGCACAGGTGTTTTCGAGTAATTTGACTCAGAAAAGTTGGGGAAAGATAATTTCTGCCATTCTCAAAACAGAAATATGACTGAACGCATCTACGACTTCGTCAAGGCGCAGCAAGCTTAATATAGAACGGAAAACAGAGATGATGATTTTTTTAAATGCATTAACAAATCCACAATCTGCAAAAAAAAAAAAAAAAAAAACTATCTAGATTTGTGTATATTTTGAGTATCGGCAGTTTCCAATATGACATCTTGCGGCCGCGCTTGGCCACACATTTTTATGAAAAATAAAATTAATTGCACGACGGACAGAACTACTGCCATGTGAGAGTATTCGTAAAAGAGATGAGCGATTTGTTTTAGTTTAGTTTGTTCTCAAAAACTAAACTCACTGCATGACAATTTTTTTTTCCTTTTTGGTCAATATTGATGCCGCGTTCCCCTTGAATTTTTTTAGCCTTTGTATCCAAGGAAACGTACCTAGTAGTACCCGTTTATTTGGTGGTCTCGCTCAAAATATGACGTAGCTGTCAATACTGAGCTCACCACCCAAGAGGAAAGTGACGTGGCAATGTTTTGGTCCGCATTTTAATTACGAATATTCTACTATTCTATTAAATTCACCACTTTCCGGGACCTATTCCTGCGGGATTTCCTTCACAAAACGTGACTCGACAGAAATCGTCTGCCCGCCTCTCCGGTCGCAATCAGTGATATTGATCCTTTCATGAAGTAATTAATAATGTCCCATAACGTATCCCGTTCACGCCCACATCAATCACAAGCATTTATTTTTCTAAATTCAATGCCCGATGTTACTTTACTCATCCTTTCCTATGTAATGAATATCAGGTCTGTATGTTTGACTTTCACATGTTTTTAAAGAACCTCAACTCTTTAAATATATATGCCCCGAGGATACAATAAATATACAAATAATTAAGTCAATATATATATATATATATATATATATATATATATATATATATATATATATACTTTTTTTTAAAGTAAGTTTTGGGATGCACCGTGAAGACACTTACGGCAATTGGTTCAGCGAACGGGGCGAGCAAAGTCAGGGGAGTTTGAATGTGCGTGATGTCTGCGACGGGCGCCATGCCAACCACGAGATTCACCTGGAACGATAAGGCGAAACGGTCGGACACAATAGACCTTTTTCAAAATCCCCATCGGGCAACATTGGCGGTCGCCATTTCTTGGGTACGAAGCGTCTGATGGGATCCACGTCGAGTCCATGTCAAACGCTGATATAGCCCTCGCGTCCGATACATCTTCACAACGTATGTTCCCAAGGAATGGAGGACTCGGATAATTTAAGTAGCAGCCACTGGATGGCGCTCACTTACGAAAAGGGGTTGTCGTAGATGAACTCCGATTTACTTTGGGCTTCCGAGTGGTCATGTCACAAAATCAGCTGTCGGTTAGGCAGACTCGCGTTTGTCTTTTAAATGGGCTTCCGTGCATTCGGTAAATACCGCTAAACACCTAAAATTCACCTCCGAGCCAGTTCCATCGAAATCGAAGAAAACAGAGCAAACCGCATATTCAAGCTGTCTTTGAAGAAGAAACAAAATTAACTTACGTACAGCTTTATTGTCTTATTATTAATGGACGAAGAGCGCATTAGTGTGGTCAGAGATGAAAGAAAGAATAAACATGTAGGACGAAGACCGGAAAACCAGATCTTTCATAAGCCCGTCCCTTGTATTAAGATACATGAATTGAGGATCCAATAAACAGGTAAATAATTGAAGGCATACATACCCAAATAAATACATAAACACCTAGATACATAAATGGCGCTGACTGTTTCAACGTCGACCTTGAAAACAATTTGAAATATTATTCTGACGCCCGTGACGCCATTTCCCAAACCCGTGAAAATATTTTACATTTTTTTTTTTATCAACTTGACGTCCCGCGTTAAAATATTTCTTCCTTCATATTTTGACATCTCAAACTTAGAGCTTTGGAGCTTTGGCCAATTCGGCGTTCCTATCAGACTGGAAATAGATAGAAAGTGCTGGTCAAACAAACATCATCTTGCCTGCATTCGGCGTCGCGATTTAACACGCTTTCTTCGAGAACATATGTGCAGTCGATTGCAGTTTGAACATTTGAAGCAATGTTGAATGCACAAAAAAAAAAAAAAAAAAAACTTCCAAAGTACATGAACGATCAGGCCGCACGTGACGTTTGCATGTTTGTGCGCAACATTACAGAATGCAGCTCCGTTGTTTTTTATGAGTTATTTCACGTGGTTTATACAGATAAAAGAGCTCAACATCGTGTAATAAAATCTGCAATTGATTGGGAAATCCGTGCATCTCGTACAACCGCGCCAGAACCTTGGTTGGTTCGCACCAGTCAAGAAATATCAAGGTGACAATGCTTGTAATCGTTACCTTTTATTCATAATCCCGATCGTCCCGTGGTTCACCTGCTCTTTATACACGAAGCAAGCAGAAAATGTAAACTGAACAACGAACTCTCGAAACCGCGTAAAAATAAGGCGGGAGCTAGAGGCCAAGCGAGATTGCAGCCAAATGAAGACGCGCTCGCAAGATATGAAGGCACAAACAGATTGCACAGTTTCTTAGTGTTACGTAAAGAGCAAGCAATTGGGCCTTTTTATGATTATGATTGGCTCAGCGATGATATAACAGGTGCAAACACATTACGAACATCATGGTGGTGCGCTATGCACTCTCAACAAAAGGGTTGTCGTAGGGTACTATACTTGGGGTAGTCAGAAGCCGTCACAGATATCGCTACCCCCCCCCCCCCCCCCTCTCGTTATACTAACAACCCCATGGGCAGTCACACGGCACGCAATCAGCAGGTAACCACAGTGAGCACTCCCAAAAGCAACATGGCGGCTGGCAAGCGGCAGTGGAGCAATTCGAGTAAGGCCTAGCGAGCTGGACTGCTTTTTGCTAAAATACGATTCTCAAGTGCGTACGCCCGTTCGCTGCCTTCCGTGCGCACAAAGCACTCCGAAACGCGCCTCGAAGCACCGGCACCGCACCTATAATACGAGTAGGGGCGACGATGTGAGGGGGGGGGGGGGGGGGGGGCGCATTCGAGGGGGTTTGTCTGCGATTGCTTTCGCGAGGCCGGCTGCATTTACTTCGCGGCCAGAAACCATTCAAAGAAGGAAACAAAATAGCGACAAATGGAATGATGTCTTTAAAAAAAATTGGGTTGTGTGTGTGTTTATACAGCCTAGAACTTGGTCTGCCTCACAGGGGCGACGAGTCTCCCAGCAGTAGATGAGAAATTTAGCCAGTGCGGTACAGCCGCTAGCCTGGGGTCTTTAACGTGCATCACGCAGTAGTGATACACGACCGCACGCCGGTACGATGCTCATCCAGATCGAAAAATGATGTCTTTACTGAACAGAGCGTCTGCTTGCTGTGCTTGCCGCAAGTGATCCGGCGTTTTCGGTTTACAGCGGCGAGGCGAAGCATCACCGATTTAAGCTGCGTCGGTTCCGATCGTTCAACGCTCCTGCTCACTTGTTAGCATTCGTTATTCACTTTCAAGTCCCTGGTAATCGTCACCGCGTCTGTGCACGCACTTTGCGCTATTCACCGCACGGAACACCCATTCAACTGGCTATGCGACTGATCCCATTTGGACGAGAGGCCGAGAACCGAACCAGACCGAACCCTTTGTGGCTGCTACGGGGAGCCATGGAACGCCTCCATGTTTTTCACTCAAATAAGTAGACACATAAACGCGCGACTCCTTGAATTGGGCGGTGACACGCGCCACCTAACGGACAGCGCTCAAACTAAAGAAAAACAGAAACCAGCAATTCTTGCACTGAGCGCCTCGCCAGACATTGCCGTATGTACATATCCCACGCCACACTTCACTCATACGCGACATACAGACATCACAGCATTTTATACATCAACGCATTCAGAAAGAGCACAAGATACAACATCACATATTGACACTCTACATTCCTATACACACGTCTAGTCGACACCACCAGCTTATATACTGCTGTATTTTATGTGACCGATTAGGATGGTGACCACTGTCATATTTTGCATAAATACGAAAAGACTGTGCAAGATTTAGCCGTATATATTCTTTTCCTCTTCTGCCCTTAGGAAAGCGCTCGTATCTGTGATGTAGGGCCATTGCAAAAGTGAGCTGCAGGTTATTAATAAGTTTGAATAGTTGCTACACGTCACATTTTGAACAGTTTCGTTTTCTCGCTTGCCTACACTTCAAGTATACAGAAGCATGTTTAATTAATTGGATTAATTATCGAAAACAATTTCTGCAATCACAACTTTCTGAACACACTGATGCATTTTATTTTCTCTTTTTACATATCCAGACTGACTTTACCGGCGGTTGGGTACACGTTGAGTACACTGAGCACGCGCAGGTGATTTTAGCGAAGCCCGTCCGCCGGTCCTCCCCGAAGCGTTATTTCAGTTTTCTTCTTTTCGCTAAATATCCGTTCTATGCGCTCGCGCTCGCGCCAAGAGGACAGTGCAGAACTGCTGCTTTCGGGCCCGTGCCTTCACCTGCAACGAACGCGAAATACGTATGCTAAATTATCTAAATCCTGGTTAAGACAGTAGTGTTTGACTGCGTGCGTCTGACTTCGTTGCGGCAGCAAGAAATCAGGACATCCTTGCTGCTTATATCGCGTGCCAAGATGATTCCTTGAATTGGATTCCACGCTTGATACGAAGCACAGACGTGGCGGTGAGTGGCTTTCGGTTCTCGACGCAACGCTGTCAAACGCTAGTGTCTGAACCGGCCTTGTTTGAAGCGTTTTTTTATCGAGTATGCTCGATGAAATGTGCCAAATGAACCAGAGAAGGCGAATCATGTTACCTCGAGACAGAGAAATAGTGAAATACACGGACATGCTCCCAAATATATGTATACGTTCGTCCTGTCCGGCCTCAGTCGTGGTGTTCATTGCTTCATACTTCACTGCACTTGAAAGCAAAAAAATTGGGTACGACAGGCGCGCAAGTTCGGCGGAACCGAGGAGGCCAGTTGCAACTGATCTGCACACAGAACTGACCGATCACACCTTTATTGAGGGCACGCTCTTTACTTAACCGCACAATAACAAACGACGAGAGTATCTCGTCCGGCGAACATTAAAGTCAACTCACGCCTGTGCGTAGCTTCCTGTGCTTTTCTAGTTAAATTCCTCGAGCATGACGCTAGCTGCCAGCTGTTTGCTGCTGTACATGGTAAAACCCGCGACGGAACCAAAAAGGACCACCGCGATACTTTTTATCTGCCTCCGGTTTTAGCAGGTGCCTACCAAGGTTGCCTGTACTTGTTTGTTTTCTGCCAGTTTAGGCGAACTGAGCCACACGCTTGTTTCGACCGGTTCAAATTTGAATAAATGATAACCAACGCACAAAAAAAAAGTTTCAAGTGCTTCTTGAGATTTTTGAAGTGACTTTTACTATTGAACGACTGCATGCACTTGAATGTTCAATTCAAGAGTTTATAAAACGTGACTACCCCATGCTTGTCACCTGCCAACAGGGTGCTAACTCTCAATGGCTCGAGCCCAGTGGGTAGTTAAGTAAGCCTGTGGGGTAGTTACAGCCGTCAAAACGCACGATGACGAGGGGGGGTGCTCACTTTTTCTTAGAGTGTAGTTTATAAATAAATATTGAACAGTTTCTCGTCTTGATTGTTCGTCTTTTATTCCCGACATGTCTCCCTCGATAAAAGACGTTTATGCGCCCGCACGAGACAATTCACCAAAGTGCACCTATATATTGTAGAAACAAATTAACAAAAGAAAAAAAACATTCGCCTAATTTTTTACATAAAAATGCACCCAAAAGTATACGGCCTTCTAATAATCAGTGTTTTTGTGTGTACGGGTTTATTATTACTTCTTTTCTTTATTCCTGGGTGTTTTGCGAATTTTTTTATCCCACAGATTCGGTATTTATCGTTAACAGTTCTTTTTTTCCCATCACACAAACAATTGAATGTTTATCGGGAATTAAAGCAAATAGGACAGGGGCATTGGGATCCCCATCCTCCTCAGAACATTCGCAATTTCCCGAACACATGAAAAATGTTTCGGTACAGATAAGAAAAAAAAAGCGCGAGACAAAACGCAGTTTTAGTGGATCGTTCCGATACTTCCGATACGAATACCTGATACTCCGCCGACGCCATTGCGCATGCATCGTATCGCTAGCATTTATCGTTACCGGAGATTTGCGAACGATTCACTAAAACTTCCAAATAGGCGTTTTTTCCTTGGAAAGAAGCAGCCTCGTTTACACTTCAATTAGGGGATGTGTTCCGGACCAACACAAACTTAAGCTGAAGATTAAGGTTTCTCTCAGTAAAGATTTGGATTTTCTTATTCAAGGAAAGCTCTAGTTGTTTTTGTTGTTTTCGCTTTTCCTCGATTTTTATGAAACACGCTCGGGGACAGTTTCCGGTTTTGATTCGGGAGTTTTAGCAGGAGGGGGATGGCGAACGCCTGGGGGACCCCAAACAGCTTGGCGCGTCGCACACAGCATGCGCGAACCCTCTACGCATGGGCAGCGCGACGCCCCAACATATTTCTGAGACCCAAAGCTTCAAGGGCCCCACTCTAAAACCTTCGATTGGATATCTACCCGAAACACAAAACCATAGTTATCACGAATGAGGCTGCGATTCCGTTAGTACCAAGCGGGGAAGTTGCTGTTAAGATTAGCTTGCACAGTGCAGTAAGTATAGTACTTCTAAGCTGGGATCTTTAATATGTCTTGACTGCTTTAATTCTTTGAGTTAGCATAAGGACTCAAGGTGGTGTATCAAGGCACGCTTTGCAGCGCGATTATTGCTCGTGCCTCAAGGACCATTCGAAGCTAACATTTTGTTTAAATGTTCTTTCTTAAATGTGTAAATTCTGATAATTAAAAACGGCACCGTGACAAAACAGCACACGACAAAACAGCACCGTAAAAACAGGATGCGTCAGAACAGCACGACTTCAAAATATCACAGCGACAAAACAGCGTACGTCCAAATAACCCACCACAAAAAGCACAGCGTCAAAAACAGCACATTGACAACACAGCCTGTGGCGTTAAAAATGCATGTGCCATACCAGCTCTGGACAACGGAAGGGTGTTATGGATAGCAAAATACAGTCGCTACAAATTAGAAATTACAATACTATATGCCTGGCTGCTAACGGTTGCCTTATGCTGTCAAGCATTTTTTTTAACAATTCTAATGTTTTGTATAATTAGACCACATGGTCATGTTCCCAAATATATAATTAACTCGCATTAAAAATTATTCAGTGTTTTACACCATTTGTTTTTGTGGCTCTTTAAACTCAACCTGAAAAAAGCGTGCCTATTAAAAGAGTGTTCTTGAAAGCTTCATTGCTGCCCGTTGTGAGGTTTGCGAATTCCAAGTCACAGAGTAGTTTCTGTTTATAAAAAAAAACAATGGATTTTTTTAATAGTTCATTTAGAACGATAATGCACAAAAAAATATAATCAACAAGGTACCATCGCATATGTTCCACTAAAATTAAGATCTTTAGGGGGTTACAAATTATTTGTACCTTGACAGTAGAGGTAGGGTAAAATGTAACTGCACACGTTATAAATACGCACACTCTCCCAACATACCAATAACGCAAGGTGAAAATAATAAATAAAATATACTTTACGTGGGGTGCTTTTTTTTCCCGAGCGACGTTTTGACGCTGTGCTGTTTTGGCATGTGCATTCATGTACCTGTGATGCATTGAGCTAGAGCTGTTTTATCGCGTGGTTTTTTACGTATGCTGTCTTGTCGCCGCGCTATTTTGACGACGCGCTGTTTTGACCGTGCTGTCTGTGTCGTGTGATGTTTTGACATGTGCTGTTCTGGCGCGCTCCTCCAAAAAACATCTCCGACATCCGGCCTGAAAAAAATTAACTTAAAACTAAACAGGCACACAACGTTTCAGACAGTCATAGTTAATGCTAAAATAACAGTTTGCAAAATCTCACCTTGTCATTATACGCTAGCCTTGTGGAGAGTAGAACCAGCGTAACGGTGAATCCTTGAGACCAGGTAAGGAGGCTGATTTCACCAAATCCCGTCTGGGAAATTATGTAGTCTATTGCAGCTGCAAGGTCGTACCGGCCGATCTTGTCGAAACTGAGCAAAGGAGTGGCAAACAAAATGAATACACAGTTGCACCACATTTGTACCGCACAACTTACTTAGCTTTAAGAAAATCATATTACGATTTCTTATATATATATATATATATATATATATATATATATATATATATATATATATATATATATCTTGGCTACTTCTGGATCGTCGAGCAACACTGTCGTTAGAGCTTCGTACACTCATTACTACGTACGATTTATTAATCGGAATTTACGGTTCCAAAAAATTGAAAGATATCTCGGGCAGTATTTAGGTGTTGCATTGCCAAATACAGTGCAGATGCACCGTACGTGGCCTAATTTTGCTTCAAAAGTTTATCTTTCGAGAATATTAATTAAAAAGAAATCGCTTGTCGGGCACCTTTCTTCTATCCCATCTATATATCTTCAAGTTTCCTTCCCGTGTTTAGGGTTTAAACATCATGTTCTTTTGACCATCGCAGGAGATCCAAAATTGCCATCATGCGCGACCTAATCCCTGAGTTGGAAACGTCAACACAAATCATAACACAATATTTTTTTTTATATATATATATAAACGCGAAGAAAAAAAAACGACCGTCGAAATCTGCTGTTTGCGGTTACATCCCAGCAGGAAAATTGTGTTTTGAGCTCGGTGGTGTTCAGACATTGGACGGCCGGACTGCGGGGTGCTTCAACTTTAGCGATTTTTGCCGGAGTCGTGTCGCCTCACAATTTCTGAAGCAAGTGAACAGTCCTTTACTCCCCTGCACAAACCGGGCAAGTGTAACTTTCGCGGATATTTTTTTTTTTTTTTTACAAGTCTGTAAAGTTTAAAATAAGAACACCCCGCATTATGTCCGTTAGGCCGTATAACTCAGATGTACAGGCCGCATTAATGCACCTTCCGCATTTTTTTTTTTTCAACAAGTTAGGAAAGTCTGAAAACAAATCACCCTGCTTTTTTTGTTTAGGGACTCAAGGGAGCTTAAAAACATAATATATCTTCTTTGTCAAGCGCATATATTAAACTCTTGCTCTAAAAAAAAAAAAAATCTATCTTACAGAAAACATTTCAGCGATAGACTCGATCGTTCTGTAGACGTAAAAATACCTTAAAGCAGATAGTTTGCCAGATTATTTTTTGACAGTTCCGATTTCGGAAATATTTGGTTTGTGTAACCTTTGCTACCTTTTGGCATAAAACCCCTTTTATATTCGTTTGCCTTGACGTGTAGTGACATGCGCCCAGTTCTGCGCGCGCGCGCATAGACCTTTTGGTCTGTAATGCAGTTGTTGCCGGCGACAACGAGCTGGCAGTGTCTGTGGCGACGCTGCTCCATTTTAACGCAGAACTGGTGTCTTACTAAAGCTAGCTTCGATTAAGCATTGAAGATAGTCAGCGAAGCGTGCAAGGTAGCAGAGAATATGTCGGCTGCCAAAAAATCCTGCGCCAAGATCTTTGCGAATTTGAAACTTTCCAAGAAAAAAAAAACAAAAAAAAACCTAAGAGAGGATTTCAAGACGCTTCGAGAAGACCGCCAGCTGCAAAAGCTTCGAAGGCAATGCCACGAAAAACGGAGGGAGACGAGGAGACAAGAGCGGCCGGGGACGTCAGAACGCCAAACCGTTTCTGGTAGACACAAAGCTAGCTGCCAAGGCCTCTACTCCCAATTCGAAAGCGTCACATTTCCAAACTCCTGCGTCCATCGTTTCGTGTTCGAAGTGTGACTGTAAACAAAGGCAGCTAGCTTTTTGTCTAGCCACTAATCATGCCAGTCATAGTTCGTTGTTTCGACGTGCCCACGTGATCTAGACTACTTTCTGTCAGCTTCTTCACGCACAGCCCCCAAAGAAACGAAAAGATGACATGACGATGCTGCCGCGGCGTCGCGGTGAAGGTTTGAACTGGAAATAGCGTCCGCTGCGTTCTAGTTACACGCAATTCTGCATGTGACGGCTTAATCGATAGATTCAAATAAAACTGCCTACATGCATTCCAACGTGCAACACCTTGGAGGTACGTGGGTAATCCTTAATACTAAAAGCGGCCTTTACCTCCCACATTGTGCAATGCATGAAGTACAGTATTTATGCGTAGATCGGTTATATTTCTTTAAAAGACATCTAACAATTGTTTCAGGGAGTGAGAGCAAGTATATGGTTTATGTATTTTCCCGTTAAATATAGCGGGGAAATGTACGACTCGTAACACAACGACTTCAGGCCGTAACGAGGCATCACACGACCCGATGTCCTGCTATATTGTGACGTGATATGACATCGCGGTTTGGAGTGACGTCAGATCATGTGGTGTTTACCCCTCGCTATATTTAGCGAGAAACTGAAGTCACACTGTGAAGTTGTGCTTTCCAGTGGCGTCACTTGACATCAGGTCATATGCTCACTCCTCACTCCGCATGACGCCATTCTGTCACCTGATACTATGATGCAGTGGCGTACCAACTTGTTTTTGAGTGAGGGGGCATACCAGACCCATACCCCCCCCCCCCCCCCCCCCCCCAGTGCCGGGGGGAGGTGCCCTTGGTATCCCATGGGCGCCGCCAGCCACTGTTAGACTTGCCCAGTGGCGGCTCTTTAAGGGGGGGGGGGGGAGCAAAACACATGCCTTGCCCAGCCCCACACCCCACACTCTGAGAAATGTGGGGGCAAGCGCCCCCCTTGCCCCCCCCCCCGCCCCCCCGGTTGGTACGCCGATGCTATGATGTCACGTGACGTAGATTTCCCGGCTGAATTTAGCGGAGAAATCCACAGACAGACAGGTGGCCGATCAAATTTCTGGGTGTTCGGCTGAGTTCCGCCAAAAAGACTTACATGCTTTAAAATTCGAATTCATCCAGCAATTTACCTGGCTCAGCTGCTTGCTCATAAGAATGTATGCTTACTGGTCGTACGTAAGGACACAAGCGCACGGTTATGCAATTAATAATTTAGGAACCATTTCAGCGTGCGTGGCGAATGTCGCCCTGTTGCCAGTTGGAACAACATATATGTTTTTGGTATTGTTGTTGTTGAACAGGGTAAAAATGCTCAGAAAAGAGAACTGATTACGCAGTGAACATGTGATAACTTGCCTCCATTCCCAGAATTCACGGTCCCTGGTAGTGAGCGTCTCGTGGTGATTAGAGTATGGCGTTCCCCTGGTGTTGATGAGCCAGACGTCAAAACCGGCATCGGCGAGAAGAAAACCTGTAAATAGGCCATTAACCTTGCTACCACAGTAAGGAACAGTTTTGTTCATGTTTATTTAACCAGGTTCTGCTTACAGCGCTCTTGAGGCACTGATAAGGTGTCTTACCAATACCACTTACAAAACAAGACACGCCCCAAAACAGGAAACAACGACTGCAAAAGGCGGTTTCGAACTGACTCATGTAATACGCGTTCGGATTCCAGGGTAGATGTGACAACAATTTCCTGATGTTTGCAGTAGCTACTAGGATTTGTAATGCGAGTTTGTACAGGTCTTTAGTAAAAGGTGGTGTTAGATACCGGGTTATACAGGCTAGGTTTGAACCAATTACTATATTCTAGTGCTGGTAACCATTACCGTATTTACTCGCACAATGAACGCACCCTTCAAGTCGGCTCTCAAAATTTTGACTTTTTTTTTTCACTCGCGTAATAAACGCTCCCCACACTCGGACGTCAAAACTTTGAACCCCTCCCCCACGCGCGCGAAATGAACGCACTTTTTTATCCTGGAGCAGCGAGATCGCGAAAGCATGGGCAGGTGGGCGAACAAAACACCTTGCAAAAGGCGTTAAAAAAATTCGCAAAGATCCTACGGAAGCAAGAAAAAAAAACATGGAGAGGAGCTTTTTTTTTAGCACAGCGCAGTCTGGACTTCGGGTTCGCGCGCCGACGCGCGCAAGGAGGTAAGAAAGAGAAGCGGAGAAGCGCTCTAAGCGAACGAAACAGCTTGCGAAAGGCGGCAAAGAGAATTTAAAAAAAAACCACGGAACTAAGAGAAAACTAAAACAAAGAGGAGCTTTTTTTTTATTTTTTCTTGCACAGCGCAGTTTGGTTATAGCCGATCCACATGACGGACCAAATCGCGATTTTCGTCCGCGGACCGTGTACCACGTGACCGGCACGTCACCGATTCCTGCGATCCGCGCCTCCTCCGCGGAGGCGCGGACTGATAAAGTCGAGCGCCTTTTTCACTCGCGGACGTTTGGCGGCAGACTGACTTGGAAAGCATTTAGTCTGGCAACGGTACATGGTTTTCTTGGTATTTTGCTTCTAATCGACGTAATCGTTCAAAACAAAAATGGCGCGTCGTTGCGTTTTGTGCGTTTGTTGGTTCATTTTGTCGTACGATTCTTGGTTCCACGCGTGAGAGAAACTCCAGAAACTTTGTCCGGCTGACGCGACGCAGGTTCCGGTGCTCCTCCGGGTCCGTGTCAAGAAGCTCCCGTCAAAACTCGTCTAGCACGCCGCGATAATTCTTGCACGTCCAATCAGGATTTCACAGAGCAAGCCGAGCAAGCCCTCTCTTGTGGATGTGGTGTGCTTGAGTGTTGTGCACGAGCGCGGAGTGCGTGGAGGCATCTCCAAACGCCCCTCCGCGAGCCGAGAAGTTCGTCGCGTCTACGCCGAAGCTTTCTCGGGCAGGATCATGCCTGTGTCACTGTCATGCTTTGGGTTAGTAAAGTTAGTGGCGCTTCGCGCGAAGCCTGTCCCGGTGTTTTGTTCTCGATCTGTACGTAGCAGCGGCGTACGATTCTTTATCGCGGTAGCAACCGTCGATTTCTCTCTTGGACAACGGTGCTACTGTGGGATGTTGGAGTTTCGCGGCACTGTGGGGTGCGAACAGGTTCGGTCCGTCCTCACTGGCGTCTGCTCGTCGTCTCCCTCGTGTGGATGCGCTTGGGAGACGGACGAACCGCGGATATGTCGTCACGTGATCAATCCGTCCGCGGATCAGTCCGTCGTGTGAATCGGCTATTACGGGGAGTCGCGCGCCGCGCGCAAGGAGGATTTCTTAGCGGAGAAGCCCTCTAAGCAAACGAAACAACTTGCGAAAGGTGGCAAAAAAAAAAAAAAAACCAAAAAAACAACGGAACTGAAAAAAAGAAAAAGAGGAGTTTTTTTTTTCTTTTTTTTTTGCACAGCGCAGTTTGGTTACGGGGGTCGTGCGTCGCGCGCAAGGAGATGAGAAAGATAAGCGGAGAGCCCTCGTCTAAGCAAACAAAACAGCTTGCGAAAGGCGGCAAAAAGAACCCAACGAACTAAGAAAAAAAGAAAACAAAGAATTTTTTTTTTTTTTTGGACAGCTTAGTTTAGTTGCGGGGTCGGGCGCCGTGCGCAAAGAGATAAGAAGTTCGATTTTTTCAGGATAAAATGTCCGTTCATTATGCGAGTAAATAGGGACGCAAAATTTTTACTTCACGTAATGAACGTCCCCCCCCCCTCCCCCAACTTTGCATCGATTTTTCGGGAAAAAAGTGCGTTCATTCTGCGAGTAAATACGGTACTATTTAGGGTTAGTAAGATCTTGGTTTCATCGTGAATCAAAAGACAGAGGCTGGAAGCCTAACAAAAAGGATACTCACTTGTTAAAGACGCAAAGTCACAGCGAATTTATTATACTTGGTCATTTTAGCCGATGATAGTACACAAACAGAAAGATTACAAACTGCCCGACGCTGCGTTTCTGAAGCTGTTTGGCTCGCCCTAAGCGGAGCGAAAGTTCGTCTGCTTCTTTTTGCAGGAATTGTTGTGACATCTGAACTCCGAGCTCTGCTTGGCTTGATTAGAAGGATAGTGCGTAGACATCAAGGCAGCTAGCATTCAGGTCTACCATTATCCTTCCAATCAAAGCGAATAGGAGATCGGCACACTTATGTGACCGCAACCGTTGCGCGAGAAGCAGACGAACTTGCGCTCCGCATTGGCTCGTAACATCAAGCTTCGCCTTGACTTGAGTCATGAAGTATGGTGCATGGAACGAGTCTCCAATGGCTGTGTTTGCCGCGTCTAAAAACGTTGTGCCTCGATTTCCGCTGATGGCGTGTAAGAGCAAATGTGGTGAATGTCTCAAGCGCCTGTTCCGCAGCTGGTCGCGCTCTCTAGCTTGGAAGTCCACAGACAGCAGTTCGGACGCCACGACAAAAGTGACGCTCTCGTTCGCTCTGCTTGCCGGAACAGGCTAAACACACCATTCGGAAAGCGCTCCGGGCACCGTACTAGAGATGAAACGAAGTGTACCAGCATATGCGCCAGGCACTTACTAGTTTTTGTTAGCAGATACCACTGGCTTTCTTTAAAAAAAAAACGTGGGAAAAACAGTTCCTTTCTGACGGATACTTACCTGGGCTTTCCAGGGGATTGTTCATGACATAATCTGCCGCCGACGAGATGACACCGTGCACACACAAGACCGGGGTTCGGGTTTGGCCCTGACCGGTTTCTGAGAGACCGTGAGGGATGCGGTCAATCTCCAGGATGTAGCCGTCCTCCGTGGTCACGTGGTGCCGCTCGGCCGGATAACCCCATTTCTTGATCAAACCAATCTGCGCCGCACGGTTAAGACTGTTAGCCCACTGCAACTTTGAGCACGTGTAGTGAAAGCCTACGCTTCAGAACCTATAGGAATCCTTGATCAATCTCCACTCCTGCCTGTTTAGACCTGGGTGAGCATTGCACCGGCGTGCAGTCGTGTGTCCCCAATGCGTAGTGCACGTGACAGACCCTGGCTAACTGTGGTACTGTGGTGGCAAAATTTATTATCTGCAGCGGGCACACTAACCCGCATTGGGGACTTACTATTATGCGCCGTTTAAACAGGCATACGACGCTACTGAGGGTAAAAGTAAAACAACCTCCTTTGAGCACGGTTTATAACCCCAGCATATCTTGTATAAAAGGTGAATGTTATATCTGCATAAACTAAAGCTTTTCTCCGCCAACAGCACGGTCAGGAATATTCCGTTTCACCTTACAGCGGAAGCTACGAGCCATACTAACTCTCTTCTACTCAGTGTCTCTAGTTTCGTCCAGTACAGATGAAGACAACGCCAGGCGATGAAAGAATGGGCAAGCACTTGGCAGGCCGGGAAGAAGGAGACACTGCTCATCTCCTCTCTAACGTTCCAAGTGCTCTCCCTTTCTCGCCTCGCCCCATATTGCCCTCCTCCACCGTCCCGCCTTGTTAGTGCTCGCCCTCTCTTTTCGCCTGGCGTGGCCTTCGCATGCACCGCAAACAACTAGTAGCACGAGTATAGCTAATCCAGAGCTGTGAACCATAGGGAGTATTCACTGGCGGTCATAGCTAAGCTCGCTGCTGCATGCTTTTGTACAAATTTTGAGTAGCAAGTTAATCTTCTATAATCTTCTAGAGGGAGAGTAGCGACTTCTGGAGAAGCCTGGTACATACAAAGGAAAGTCCCGGTGATAAGAGCATTTTTCCTTCTCCTCTTCTATTGTGGTTGCCCGAGAGCTGACGGGAAACTCTTCCCGGGCATGCGCTGTGAGCAGTTACCTCAAATATGGCGTCCAGTGAATACCACCTACAGCAAGTTACAGCTCAAGAAGGTAGGGTGAAGGGAAGGAGGGCCGAAGGGGAGGAAGCAGACGGAAAGCTGGAGAGAGGAGATTTCCCCCTCTCTTCTTCAGCACTCCGTCTTCTTCCTCCTCCCCTGCCTTTCTTTCCCTCGCCCTACCTTCTAGAGTTGTAGCGAACTACAGTGATATGACCGCATGCCCTGCAAGGAGCTGCACCCTCCCAAAGGTCACTTGATATTCACACAACATTAAATTGGCTAAGTTAGCAGGTGGCGTCCCCTGCTCTCAATTCTAAGGGTAAAGGGGTAGAGAGGTGTACGCCCCCTCCCCGACACCTGTCTTCATACTTCCTTCTTCACAAAAATATAATTCGGGCTAGAAAAGTTGTGAAGACCTCAAATAAATTTATTATTTGTTTAATATTAGTACATTGTCTCCACGACGTCGTCTTTTTTTTTTTTTTTACAACTTTACTTTTCTTTGACGCCGGCGCCGCAAATAATAAAATTCAACTAGGGCCCCCGGGGCAAAAATATTCATGGCACACACCCCTTCGTACCCCACCACATCAGCTTCAACGAAACATTTTCCAGCAAACATGTAACACACATGATATTATGGATTGGTTTTCGCTTGGGTTAATTACCAAGTGTTCTATTTCGGTTTAATTTTGGTTTAGTCTAAAATAATGTAATGCTTTGGATCCGGTTTCCGCTTCAGTGACGAAATAATCCCTGGAAAAGGGCAACAAGAGGGGCAAAGGACCAACACAATTCTCCAAACACAGCTAGGTGACAGTTGCGCGACCGACCAAATCCGCCTGGTCCGCGTTGCGAACCCGGGACCGCACAATTTCCTGTGGAGCGCTCTCCCAGCTGAGGTAACCAGGGGTTGGACGTCAGTGGGTAAACATGTTTTATCAGCTGGCATCAGTCTAACACCAACAAGGGTGAAAGGTTCGCATTTTTAAGGTTATGATTATAATGCAATCGAATGCAAAGATGCAAGCGAGCTGGACACGAATGGCGAAATAATCACTGGAGAAGGAGAAAAACTCTAGTGAAGAAAGTCATTTGTATGAGAAATTTCTCGTGTCCAATAAACACATATGAAACATACAAGATATATAAGAACATATAAGAACTATATAAGAACCATGTAATTGTATAAGTTATATAAGAACCATATAAGAAACGTATAAAAAACTTCTTACAATTTTGTTATCTGGTGCTTGTATGTTCTATATATCTTATATAGTTCTGATATAGTTATTGTATAGTTCTTATATGGTTCTTCTATGTTCTTGTATATCTTGTATGATTCATATGTGTTTATTGGACACAGAAATTTCTCATACAAATGAGAATTTTCAATATGGAAGAGAGGAAAACGACGAACAAGTCCCCAAACATAGCTTGGCGACTGGTGCGCGACCGAAAACATCCGCCAGGTCCGGGTATCAAGCCCGGGACCTCCGCAGGGATTATTTCGTTATTCTTGTCCAGCTCGCCTGCACCTTTGCATTTAATTGCATTATAATCATAACATTAAAATGCAAGCCGTTCACCCTTGTTGGAGCTAAGACTGGTGGCAGCTGATAAAACCTGTTTGCCATACTGACGTTTAACTCCCGGTTAGTTCAGTAGGTAGAGGGCTCCACTGGAAATGGAGAGGTCCAGGGTCTGATTACCGCACCAGGCTGATTTTTTCTGTCGCGCACAAGTCACCTAGCTGTGTTTGGAGATTTGTGTTTGTCCTTTGTCCCTCTTGCTCCCCTTCTAAATGGAATATTTCGTCAATCTTGTCCAGCTCCCTTGCACCTTTGCATCTGATTGCAATATAATCATTCCGCTTCAGGTTCGCTTCGAAACCCGGAAAGCTGCTTCAATAGCATCTTCGATTGGGTCCATGTGTGCCCTCCAGATGGCTATTGAATCCTCGATTGAGCTGCATACTACCCGGGCAGTCGCACTAAGCGACAATTCGCGGCGCGCGCGGCACGCATGGGCACGGGTGGTGCACGGCGGTGCACCAAAAAAATCGATAATTTCGGTTTGTTCAATATTGCGGCTCACAATCGGACATTTAGTTACGGTTCTGATATAGCTGCCAGGCAACCTTCGTATTAGAAAATCTTTGCTGAGTGGGCTGTTCGTCCATTGCTGTGACAGAAGAGCCATGAGTTTGTGGGGATACGTTCCCCGATCGGACTCGGCACAGCCTCCATCTTGATAAACAGAGATTAGGCGTGACACCTTTGAGCGACGACACTACTCTCACCTTCCGTCAAACACGTACTAAATAACTCAAAAAAAGGTAGTTAAGTCACTGAGTATCAACACCAACAGTAATTGGAGTAGAGTAGAAATTACGCATTTGTAATAGTAATTGATTAAACTACTAACCACTGCCAAAAAGTAGCGAGTTACTGTTGAAGTTACTTTCGAAGTTACTTTTTGATATTTTTGTGGTAGCAAAATGAACAGCAGCTTTCATCCGTGAAAAACCCTGCGAGCCTAAAATAAACGCAGTCATTTAATTTCTTGCGTTTTTACCAAACTACAGTTGATTTCCTCGCAGAAGCAAGTGACTTTCAAAGTGCTGATCGGAGGGTTTTCCCCCTTTCCTTCTAAAGACGTCCCCAGCCAAGCTAAAAGACGTTCCACCGACGCGCTGGATGGGACGGCAGCGTTGAATTTTAGAAACAGGCTGTGCAGGGTCGGGTAAGCGAGTGTCGGCATCTTAGGCGTCCATGACTAAATATTTGAGGTTTGCCTCGGCTAAAAAGTCTTTTATAACAAACTCTCCTGATTTTTTTTTCTTCAGCAGTTGAGATTGTTATGACTGGCCCCTCTTTATTTACACGACGTTCGGAGAGTACGCTGAGCGAGTGCACCTGACCGTCAAGGGTTCGTGTCTCGCGCGAGGACGATGAGATCATCCGGACGACTGCACGTCTCGTTGCAGTGGAGGTGCTACGCTACTGAAAAAATAAATGTTTTGGTTTAACAAAGAATAAACGAAGTATACTTCGCCGCTTACGCCGGGTCCAACAATAATAACTCCCAAGGATGACTCGCAATCCTCGCTGGCGACTAGGGTATCCTGACGCGCCTGACACGCCCTTACAAGTTAAACGTTTTCAACAAACAGGAGGTCTGCCTGGCGTGAAAACGTCGGAAGGACGCATAGGATTACGTGAACCAGCATCGCGCTCATACAGTTGCAGCTGGACGGGGAACGTGTTCCCATGAACGGATTATCTGCGTCTACCTTTGTGCGCGGGGGAGTTTGCCTTTGCAAGGGAGTATACGCTGACGACAAGGCGACCAAGGGAACAGGCGCCCACCTGCGAGGTCATTCCAGTGGCATCTCTCGTGGAACCTACCGCTTGACTCTGAACTCACTAGAGTCAGACAACATGGAAACAACAACGATCATTGGGGTGTCCCCGCCTTTCACGGTTGCAGCTGGAGGCGCGGCGCCTGCGTGCATCATCGGATTAGTTCAGTACCCGACCAAGGCTTGTTAAAGGGCAACTCCACTCAAAAAGTTGACCCTATCGAAATGACTGATATCGCTTTAGGGCGTCAAAATACGGTCATACCCAAAATATCACGTCAAACCGACGCCGCATTACTGATTAAAACCAATATCAAAAATGGTCTCCCGGCTCCGTTAGCGGCCCGAAAGCGGGTGAGCAACCCTAGCACCGGGTAAGCTAGTGAAGCAACACTGGGCAATGACGTAGGTTTAGTCCTCCGCTCTCGTACGGACGCTGCGAACGCTTCGTTTCCTGTGGCATTCTGCGATTCTGCTGACGGCAAGAGGCTCTTACCACGTTATGCTGTGTTCTCCTATTTTTATTAGCGTCCGGGCAGTTCATTTAAGTCCAGCATTGCTTCCGCGACAGAACGGAAGAGAGCGAAGCGGTGCTGCTCGCTCACGCGTGTGTCGTGGAGCCGGAGAGACTCGCCGGACTCGCGTTGGGCAATGTCGAGCACGACTT